ATTCCAACAGTGATGGAAGCCTTCAGGGAGCGTCGCGCCCTCGGGAAACGAGCTCCCGGGATGACGCAGATGTCCGCCGCCTGGGCGTCGAGGGCGAAAGCAGTTGCTTCGAGTCGCCACTCCAGCAGCTGGTCGGCCCCCAGCTGCAGGAACCCGCAGCGGCCTGGGCCGAGCTCGGCAATGCAAAGGGTTGCGCGGGCAGCAGTGGCAGAGGTAGCCGCGTCCGCCGGAGCTACATCCGAAATCGGAGGCGGGCCAGCATAGGGGGGCCCGCCATGGGCTTCTGCAGGGCCAGCTCGCGTTAGGGGGGGCGACGAGGGTAGGTCCCAAGATGCGGGCCGACACGCCCGCAGACGCCCGCGGCTCTTGCAGCGCCGGCCCTACGCAGCTCAGCACGTGGGCAGGGCGCGGCGGAAGCAATTCCAAGAGCACCAAGGCGTCGCGCAGTTCCGCCGCGGCCTCCAGCCGACGGGGGCCGCGCGCTAACCGCTCCCGGCAGAGAGACAGGAGAGGGCGCAGCTGTTTCCGCGCCCCCTCTAGAACATCCCGCCGTGCACTTCGTCTTTGTTCATCCCCCATCGGCCGGGCGACGTCTCGCGGCCGGGATGCGCCCGTCCGCATGGGAGGGGGGTCCGAGCACAGTAGCTGGCTACCACCACCAAGACCGAGAATAATATACAATGCGATTTGGTGCAGTTTTGCTCTGGTGAAAAGGCCGCAGTCCCCCCCCCCGCCGCCGGCGGCAACTGGGCTGCGTGTTTTTTTTTTTTTTTTTTTTTTTTTTTTTTTTTTTTTTTTTTTTTTTTTTTTTTTTTTTTTTTTTTTTTTTTTTTCTTTTTTTGTTTTCTCTCTCTCTCTCTCTCTCTCTCTCTCTCTCTCTCTCTCTCTCTCTCTCTCTCTCCCTCTCTCTCTTAAGGGCCGAATCAGAATTCATCAAAGCACGCGCGGTGGTGGTATATATAATTTTGGTTACCAAGGGGAGCGATGCTTATACGCCACCACCAAGAAGTGCTGTTTCTGCTTCAGGAACTCCCCGTGCCACGGCGCCTGCGAGCTGCGCCGCGCTCCTTTCTCGCTGTGGCGTCGCAGCGTCGTCTGGCATGACCCTGCCCCTAACCCTTTCTGCGGAGAATTATTGTTGCGGGCGATGGTGGTGCATGCAAATTGGCCTCGCAGAGGGGCTGCGCGGGCGGCGGGGGCGGGCCCTGCTCGACGCGGCGCGGCGCGCGCAGCTCGCCCGACGCAGCGGCAGACCAAGACAACGCCGACGGCGACGTCAGTAAACCAAAGACTGCAGCAACGGCGACACATGCTGCGCAACAGCGGCGGTGGCGGCGCCCGCGGCTCGCCGTTGCGCGGGCCTCGCCGGCTCCCCCAAACCGCCGGCAACGGCGGCGGGCGCAGTGCCGGCGGTCCCCGGCGCGCGGGCCGAGGGCGGGCAGGGGGAGTGGTCGCCGCCGCCAGTGTCGGGGAGCACGGGGCCCGCATGCGGCGCCTCCACCTGCGGCGGCGGCGGTGGCGGCGGCGCTGCCGTCGAGGCGCCTGGCCACCGCGCTGGCGGCGAGATGTTCCGGACTGCTCGCGGGGGGCCCGGCGACGGGGCCTTGGCCGGGGCCGTCTTCCGCGCCGTGCCTGTCGCCCCAGGGGTGCTGAAAATGCTCGGGGGCGGGGGCGTCGGGGCGATCTCCCCCAGCGCGGTGGAGAGCCCGTCCGGGCTGGGCGCGTCGCCGCCAGCCCCTCTCGCCGGATCGCTGCTGGCTGGCGGGGGCGGGGGGCTCGAGCCACAGGGCCTGTGGCCGTGGCCCGCGAGGCGCTGGATTCTGCGGGGCCTGGGCTGTGCGCGGCTGCGGTGCCGCCTCGTTGGTGAACTGCTGCTGGTGCTGGTGCTGCTGCGACGCCTCCGGCTTCGGCTGCTGCGTTCATCGCGCCCGCGCCTGCTGCCGCGCCGGCTTCGGGGCGGCGTGGCCACGGCCAGGCGCGTGTATCGCTGGCGGGGCGCGCCGGGGCGCGCTGGGCGACTACCTAGCAGCCTGTTCTGTTCCGTGGCGTAACAACCTCGCTTGGTAGCCTGGGCATACAGCGATCACCCCGGGGGCCCTTGGCTAGACAGGGGCCGACGCCCCTCCCCAGGCGCGCCCGATTATTGGCGGCTGGAGAGTGGGCCGAGGCGCACGGGTCGACAACCCACAAGTTCCCGACCCGGGGCATAGACGGGACGGACCGTCGGGCCTCACGAGGCTACGAGACAACACGGCACAACACGGCACCACGACGACAAAAGGCACAGGCACGGCACGGCCAACCACGCACGTCACGACGCAGCACAGCACAGCGGCACGGCGCGGTCCAGAGCCTCCAGGGTTCCCCAGGGACTAGGCGGGCGGGACCCCAACCCCACACCCACCAACTTACACCCCAACGAAGGCCCTCAGAGCAAACACAGGTGTGTGTGTGTGTGTGTGTGTGTGTGTGCGTGTGTTTTCGGATCCCAGCGGGGGAGGTGGAGCAAGTCGTTCCTCAACGGCCTCCGTAGACAGACTGGCGCCGTCCAAACCATCCGCCCCGAGCCTGCGACCACCTCAAACTAAAGGGGGCGCCCAACGGCGCCTGTCCAGATACTGCGTGCCACGTGCCCGTCCTTCCACATCCAACCTCTTCGGGGGGGGGCCAGCCAGTTTCCACCCCGACCAGGCTCTACAGGGCGAAAGCCGAAAACGAGGGGGAGTTTTCCTCACGAAGGGGGCGCGGGATAGGACTGACGGTGGGCGGTGCGAGGGGGAGGGGGGATAGCTGAGGGGCCGGGGCGCGGGCGGGGCGGAAGCCAGCGCGTCCAAAGGGAGGAGGGGAAGAGGATGGCGCATTTCTCTGCGGCTGCGGTCGCCCTGACGGCCCTGGCGCGCTTCTCCGCAAGTTGGGACGCGCCCGCCGAGGCTGTTCTTAATGTTTCCACCTCATACGCTTCCGCGACCCACCCCGCGACCCACCCGCGACCCTCCCCGCGACTCAGCCCGCGACCCACCCCGCGACCCACCCCGCGACCCACCCCGCGACACACCCCGCGACCCACCCGCGACCCCACCCGCGACCCACTCGCGACCCACGCCGCGACTCAGCCGCGACCCACCCGCGACCCAACCCGCGACCCACCGGCGACCCACCCCGCGACCCACCCGCGACCCACCCGTGACCCACCCGCGACCCATTTGCGACCCACCTGCGACCCACCCCGCGACCCACCCGCGACCCACCCGCGACCGATCCACATAGGTTTGAAGAAAAAATCGGCGCCTGCGGCGGGTTCGTTATATACTTTGTGAAACTGTTGCGCCTGCGGCGGGCTTTTCCAGAGTCTCGCAGACTGCCGACGTCCCCACCGCCCCCTCACTGTTATCCGCATCTGCGAGGTGCTACGTATTTTTTGTTGCAGTCATGGCTACCGGTCTTGCCCCTGGTGATGCTCGGCGGCCCCTGAGGCCACACCGCTGACCAGGTCGCCGTACAGGGCCAGAGAGGAATCCTCTCCCTGCGCGTTCGCGGCAAAGTATCTCCTTTACAGGCACCCAGAAAATGTCTCACTGACAGCTTTTTCGAAGATACCAGGCAGTTTGCACATGGCCATCGCCCCACTCAGGCAGTCGGACAGTGATATTTCTTCCAAAAGTTCTTCAGTTGAGTTCAGTCGTTGTCGTCGTCGCCGCCGTCGCCGTCGTCGTCGTCGTCGCCGCCGCCGCCGCCGCCGTCACCGTCGTCGTCGTCGTCGTCGTCGTTGTCGTCGTCGTCGTCGTCGTCTTCGTCGTTGTTTGCGGCGGCGAAAGGGGGAGGGGGGCTGAACCCCTCCTGGCTTTCGGAGAGGTGTTGGGTGGGAGATGGGTAATTCTTCCCCGTGGGGGGGTAGGGAAGCGCCGGCGCGGCAGGGCGGGGTCATTGAAGTGTTTTCTGTTTTTTATTTGCGACGCGCCATTGCGTGACTCAAGCACACTGAAAGTTTCTGCTAGCAAACTGACCCCCTTCTCTTTGGCCTTTTGGACTTCTTTGCTTACCTTACTCCAGAGATTCTGCATGCTGTGGCAAGGGCCGCGGAGAGGTCGAAGATTTGCCGGCAGGTCGAGCTCCAGACGTGCACAGTGAAAGAGTTATCGGAATGCGGAGGGGTGCTTCCGGTTCTGGGATTCAGGGCGCCAGAAGCAAACGGGGGTACGGGAAACGCCGATTTCGTCGTTTCGCTATGCCCCGGTTTAGGGGGCCCTGGGCGCCGTAAACAGGGGTACAGTAAACGGGCGTATATGGAAAAACTTAAGCCCCCGTTTACGAAGCCCCGAGGGATTTTTGGAGAACGGGGGGAAAGGGTGTGTCCCAGTTCTGGGGAAGAGGGGAGAGTTTCCAGGTGTGGGGGAAGGGTTTTTGCTGTTCCAGAGGAGGGCGGGAAGATTTCCAGCAGTGCAGCACCCACATACATATCGTTCCTCAGCGCAGATTCTCCAACACATGGATTGCACACACGCACAACACGGACCACAAGCAGAACCACGTATACTGCATCGCATGATTTGCATGACTGCGTGACACAGTTTCACCGCATAGCTTGTACTACATAGCTCGCGCGTACCACATAGCTTGCGCCACGTTGGTGGCACCACAACGTTCGCACCACATAGCTTGCAACACATGGTTTTGACAGCATTGCTTGCAACACATATTTCACATTGTGCTCAGAACGCATGGTACAGCTTGCACCTCGTTTACTTCGTATCGAGGGTGCATGAGCTGACTGTTAGGGGTCCACGCTGGCTTAGCGGCTAGTGTGATGGTGATGTCTGTGACGGGGAGGAAGGGGAACGAGGATACCAGGCTACATACAAACTCATATATTATTTTACGTTGTTGTGTCAGCTCAATTTGTTGTGGTCGTCTAGTCGGCTCTACTTGACCTCAGGCTACTATTCATTCGGTTTCTCTTGCATCAACTTGGCTGTGCGCGAACATTAATTGTTCTCTGTGACATGCCAGAAAGGCTGGAGTTGAGAGTCGCGCGTCCTGTATGTGATGCTATGTCGCCTCAGCCATCAGAAGCTGTGGAGGTCACAGCGCCGCATGCCAAGCGAAGCTGCAAGGGCCTTACGCCTCTCGACGTCCATCACATTATGGAGTGGCCGGGCTGGAGAGTTGTTTTGGATTCGGAGTTGCGCGACGCAGGTGGTGTTTTATCTTGGAGAGCGCTTCAGGACAGGATGCGAAAACGTTACGTGTCAGAGGTCGGCACTGGCGGACCATATAGTCTGATAGGCACTTGTGCGTTGGCAGTAATACCTCCCGAATATTTGAGCGCAGCGGACGCACTCGTGCGCCTCCCACCTATAGATGCTGACATCGCGACGGCGCAGAAACAGCTTCAATATCATTGTCATAAGTTCGAACATAATCGGGACATAACAGCTCTGATCAACAGGTACAGCAGGAAAGTTACATTTTGGAAGGCTCGCGAGCAGATCCCAACTATAATGAAACACGCAGTTCATGTTGCTGCATGGGTGGCATTTGCAAGTGATCTTGGCGAGGAAGTTCTTCGCGCCATTGTGTTGCTTCTGGCAGACATGCTTTCGGCATTGGGACAAAACCATCCGATTCCCCGCCTTCTATTGGCGCTGCGGCACGCAGCAGACCGTCTTCAGCATTTCCGTGATGAGGCGGGCGCTCCGCATTGGACAGCGACTACACTAGAGCGAGTAAATGAGATCCTGGGCCGCGCACCTGCAGTCGGATACGCTGGAATGGCCCGAAGCTCCTGTCATGCTACCCCACGCAGTCGAGCGTGGACCGATGCCAGCGGAGTTGAACGGAGACTGCGGGCGACCCAGCAGCCTCGAGGCGCCACAGCGGCGCTGTGGGCTCCGCGCAGCGCCATGCCCGGCGCCACGGTGGGGGCCTGCCTCGCGACGATCGGCCTTGGCTCCAGGGCTCTGAGCTCGGGGGGCCAAGGGGGGGGGGGGGGAAGGGCCGAAGGTTTCTTTGGGGTTTTCTCGTCTCGAGATACTTGCCAGCAGCTGCGCCTCGTCGAGAGCTTCAAGGTTCGGTTCAAGGTCCAGGTCGAGGTTCGAGGTTCGAGGTTTTCGGGCGTCTTCGTCGGCCCGTGGGGGTAGTCTAGCCTCGGGGTGCTCTCCAGGAGTTGCACCTCGTCGAGAGTTTTTTCTGGGGGTGGCCAGATCTCCCCTAACGGCCCCCGGGGGCCCGAGCGATGACCCGAGAGCCACCACCTCGTCCTCGCAAATGTCCTGGGTCATGACGCGCTCCTCCTCTCTTCCACGCCCAACTCTTGGACGCCCCCGATGAGCAGCTGCGTCGCAATTGCAGAGGAGTGGCCGGTCATCAAGCGGGCGTACTTCAAGAAGGTATTGGTCAGCCACCCCGACAAGGGCGGGAGTGCGGCAGTCTTCCGGGACGTGCGGGTGTCCTTCGAGGTGCTTCGGAGGATGTTCGTGAGGCGCGATGTAAACTCTTTCAGGAGCTCGCAGGAGCAGTCCACCTCGGAGGACTACAAGGGTACTCGGGCCGAGTTTGAAGGTGCGTCCATTCCATCCTGGGAGTACTACGCAGAGGCGATGAAGGAGGAATATGCTACCTACAGGGTAGAGCTCGCCAAGTCGGGACGAAGTCGTTGTCAGGCTCGTGGGACGCGCAAGCAGTGCCGGAGTGATGCGCCCTTCATTGAGATAGGCGCCTTGCGAGTCGGGTTCATGACCGAATCTGGGTCTTACGGAATGTTCTGCCACCTTAATTGCTGGCGAGTGCCGAGCAAGATTTGGCTCGGCCTCCCCGACCCCGAAATGTGCTGCGACCGAGAGGAGTTCGACAGGGCGCTGCAGCAGATGAACCAGGTTGCACTGAATGGCATGGAGGACCTGCCCGGCAGTTGCAGAAGGCAGGTCGTCAGCTACGTCATGGACAAGAGCCACTGGACTTTCGGTGGGGACGTGGGGAGGGTGCGCAAGAAGCCCGCCGCGCACGCCGCCGGCCACGAGGACGCCGCTCGTGCCCCGGCAGTGTCTTCGCGCGGATCGGCCGAGGTGGCCACCACCAGCACCGAGCTCGTGGCCCCTCCTGCAGGGGGGCGGTTCTCGATCCCGACGCCCGGCCGGGACGGCCCCGCCGGCAGCCTCTCGGGCCAGACGTTCGTGCTCACCGGCGTGTTCCCCGAGATTGGCGGCGGGCAGGGCCTCCAGCTGGGCAAGGCTCAGGAGGGGAAAAAACACACAGACACAATTAATCGTCGACTCCCAGGAAAATATGCAAAAATATGGGAAGTGGGGGGAAAACAGAAACCCAGAAAATATGGGAAAATATGGGGCACCTTTTTATTTGTGTGTATTTATTTGTGTGTCCTGGGGCCCCTTCAAAGGCGCGGGCGAGGGAGATGATCGAGAGCTTCGGGGGCAGGGTTGCCTCGGCTGTCTCGGGGAAGACGGACGTGCTGGTGGTCGGGAGGGACCCCGGCTTCGGCAAGGTCAGCAGGGCCCGCAGCAACCCCGGCACGCGCCTCGTGGACCTGCACGAGCTCCGGCTGGGGATCGAGCGGGGGAACCTCGAGGGGTCGAGGGGGAGGCACGTGCTCGTCGGGAGCTTCTCCGAGGGCTTCGCGAGGCGCCGAGGGGGACCGAACGGCCTGGCACTGAGGGCCTCCAGAGAGGAGCTCGCCTTCGCTTCCGGCATGAACTGATCCTGGGAGGGGCGCGGTCGCTGAAGCGGCCCGCTGCCTCGCCCCCGTCTTCTGGCAGCAGGGCGCGGCGCAGGTCGTGGCACGCCAGGAGGCGGAGGTGGAGGGCAGTCGCAGCAGCGCTCGGGTCCCCACGCGGCCGAAGACTGCGACTCAGAGGAGGAAAAGTCACCGCCACCGCTGCCCCTCCCTCGTTTGCGCCCTCCCGGGCCTCCGGGAAGGCCCTCGCCGCCGCGGTTGGACTCGCCTCGCATGTCTGGGCAGAGCGCACCCCGGGAGAGGTCGCCTGGGGAGAAAAAATTTGGAGTCCCGAAAAGTTGCGGTGACAGACCGTGCGGTGACCTCGAAATCCCCCACGACCTCACCGCACGGTCCGTCACCGCACGGTTTTGGGACCTCGGAGGCCCCTGTCGCCCGAGACATCCTCGGGAAGGGACTCGAGTCCCCAACAGGTGCGGTGACCCCGAATACCCACCGGCTCACCACACGGTGTGGTCACCACACCGTTTGTGGGCCCCCGAAAAAAAGCGGGAACAAAACGGCATCGGTGCCTTCCTGTCCTCCAGTAGTGTCGATCTCTTGCCGTCACGCCGCGCCCGCGTGTTGCCTCGGGGCCGGAGGTCAGGGCGGCGACGGGCGTGCGCAGAGGTCCGAAGGCGTGGTTGCAGCCGTGCTCCGCTGGCGAGGAGGGACGCTGCAGCAGCTCCACCACGCCCTGCGCGTGCGGACAAGCAGCGCGGCTGGGAGCAACGTGGCGGGCGTTCGGCACGTGTCGCCGTGAAGGAAGCGTGTCCCGAGGGAAACGTGCCTCGAGTTTTTTCCGCCGTTTTCGAGCGCCTGGGGCCCTCCACGGACCCAAGGACTGCAAGGAAACGATTCAGGATGAAGAACTGGTCCTGGGGGAAGGCCTCGGGGTCCAGGGCGCATTTCTCCCTATCAGGACCCGTGTCCTTCATGCCAGATGCGCACAACAGGTGCCGCATGCAGTGCGGAGGACTGCAGCAGCTCTGGCAGGCATGGGGAGCTCGTCTAAGCTGGAGCAGTGAGTCTGGTGCAGATGGGTCAGCGGTGAGAGGTGTAACCACTCATTGACTGTGTACGGTGGCGTGCAGTAGTACGCACCTGTTGCGGAGGCGCGCATTGTGTCGCGCGGGCAACAACCAATGCATGTGCCGAAGCTTCAAAGCTACATCCCGCGCGCAACTATTGCATCCATCGCGCACACTACTGCATCCAGGTACAACTCATTGTAATTTCTATTGCACCTCTCCCGCGGACCCAATCTGTTTAAGACCCACCACTCAAGCTTTTACGCCAGGCGGCTCGCGCCGGAATGCCACACAGTGGAAGCTGCGTCCTAGCATGCAGTGCTTCCGTTCCAGTGAGAACGCGGCGATAATGCTACATCCAGTATGGTACAACTGAGTGCGCTACGCCGGGCCGAATGACTTTGAGTACATGTTGCTTGCGTATTATGATCGGGTCCCAGTTCGTATAGTGCAGCAGTTCGGATGCTGGTGGTTCATGTGATGGATTATGTGTTTCTGCCAGAAGGGTCAGTCTTTGCATTGCCTTGGGCTCCAAGGACGTATTTTCGAGCATGGTCAAGATCGATGCTGCCCGCGTGCAAGCGGCCCTTACGCGTACTGTAGTTTCGTACGTGTCTTAGGGATATGCAATCTCTCATGGTGCGCCAGCTGTGCAGCATCAGCTCAACCTCAGCGGCTTACATTAGTTCCGCATGCCAGGCGATTGGTTTCTGTCGCGTGGCTGGAACAAAGTTGCGTGTGGGCCGCACGAGTGGGCCTAGGTTTCCGCGTGGGGATGACGAATGCTCCTCTCCGTCCACCTACTCTTCCTGCTTTTAAGGCGCGTTATCCTCTTCCTCCTCGCTTTCCTCCTCCTTCAGCAGAGGGCTCTCCTTATCAATCTTATCCGTCTTACTCGTGCCTCACGTGTGTTGAGGTGATTGTCAGGCGGGCGCCATTTTGCGCACCCTGCGCGTTTATGTCGTGCGCGCAGTCCACGCATGACCAGGAGTTTCCCTCCTGGCAGGTGCCCCCCCTATAAAGGTTCTCAACCATCACATCATAGGGCACCTCAATACAGGTATACTGGCTTGAACCTGAGACCCTTGCCACTTTCTGAAGGTCATACCATCATGACTGTGTTCATACGGGAGTAGTCGCCAGGTCCACGCGCATATGACTGCACGTTTGCACGTGCTAGATGTGGTTCCTTTCGTGCAGTCGTGCACGAAGCGAACGGCATCCTGCTGGCTTCATTTGTGTTCCAGTGTTCCAGGGCATGCTCAAGCGCGGCATCATGCGCCCTGCTAGTCGCATGGGTTTGGATTTCGCTGATGGGGCTTCGCGTATGGTCGACACGCACTGCTGGTCCGCACTGGGCACTCTGCTCCCCGCTCGAAGGCCGTGACGAGCTGCGCCGGTTGTCCTTCTCTGCCTCTGGTGCTGCGGCCGCTGCTGCTTCTCTGATGCCTCGTCCTCTCTAGGCCTCCTTGATGGAGTCGGAGTAGATGGGGTCGGAGGATCGCGCCGCATCGCTGATGCATTGGCAGTGCGGCTCGATGTGGAGCCCGATGTTTCCCAACGCCGATGATGCCGATGCGTCGCCGACGTCGGCGATGCATCGCCGATGCGTCGCCGATGCGGTGCGATCCTCCGACCCCATCTATCTGGACCCCTATCAAGGAGGCCAGGATAGTTAACGGGCGAAAAACGGTATAACATTTTTTTTCCCCCGTCGGGGACACCTGCCCCTGGGCGGCTGGAAAGTTTATACCCTTCCGGTGGCACCGTAGGGGTATAGACTTTCCGGCCGCCAAGGGGCAGGTGTCCCCGACGGCGAAACAGTTTATGCTATACCGTCTTTCGCCCTTTAACCATCCTCCGCCTCCCCCGCGCAGGTCCTCGGCATCCCGAGGCTGGCCCACTGGGTTCGCAGGGGCAGAGCCTCGCAGGTCGCAGGCTTCCTGCTCGGCTCCCAATGGGAGGGGCGGGGGCAGGGGGCACCCTGGGCCGCCCTCGCCCTCCCCCTCGCCCCCTCCTCCTCCTCGCCCCCCTCCTGCTCCTCTTCTTCCTCCTCCTCCTCCTCCTCCTCGTCTTCCTTCTCCTCCTCCTCCTGCTCCTCTTCTTTCTCCTCCTCCTCCTCCTCGTCTTCCTTCTCCTCCTCCTGCTCCTCCTCCTCGTCTTCCTCCTCCTCCTGCTCCTCCTCTTCCTCCTCCTGCCTCCTCCTCCTCCTCCTCCATCTCCTCCTCTTCCTCATCCATCGCTTTTCCTTATAAGTGTCCCTCACTGGCGCACACCCAGACGTGTCGGTCGGACGGGCAGGGGCGTTTCGCCGGAGGTTTTCCCACCATTCCTGATCGGGCCCCCCGCCTCCTCCTCTTCCTCCCCCCCCCTCCCGAGCAAGGAGAGTGGGGGGTGGAGGAGAGAAGTTGACATGGGGAGAGTGAGGCAGCAAGGGGGAAGGGGAAGGTCAGTATGAAAGGGGGGGGGAAGGGAAAGGCAGGGAAGAAAGGTAGGGTAAGGGCGGCGGCGGAGCAGGTGGAGGAGGAGGAGGAGGAGGAGGAGGAGTAGGAGAAGCAACATAGTGCGAAGAAAGATGAACAGGTTGTGGTGTGGATGGGGATGGGGGAAGAGGGCGGGGACGGGGACATGGAAGGTGGAGGGGGCGGAGGATGGGCAGAGTAGGGGAGGGAGGGAGGGAGATTGGGCGAGAGAGTGTAAGTGTGATGCTGGCGGGTGAGGTGGGGCGCTGGGGGGGGGGGTAGGGAAGGGGGGGGAATGGATGGGACGTGGAGTAGGGGAGAGTCTCTGGCATTGCGGAGCGCGGCCGTATCCACTCACCGCATCACGCAATTGTTTTCATAGTCCATCGCCATCATATCATGTTCTCCGATATCGTCAAGCTGTAACATGCGACACCTCTCGTCCTCTTGTCTCGATTCAGATGACGAGCGTGTTGGCGAGGCGTGTGACGAAGACGGCGGCGGTCATGACGACGACGCGGCCGAAAAAAAAACTTCTGCCCCTCATCTTCATGAAGCTAGTCCTTCATACCATGGGCCGCCACTGCAGTTAGCGATGGGAAATTGTTGACGCCCCCATTGCCGTCGCGAGCTCTCGGCATTGCCGAGTTCGCCCAAGAGTTTAACAGCAACCGCTCCGCACCCGCAACTTGGACGAGCCGCTCCTTGGCCGCGCAGAAATTCTGACGAGTTGTCTCATGAATCTGGATGTGTTCCGAGTGCAACTATTGACGCGCCTTTCCAAACAGTTCCATCCGGGGGTGCGTGTAGCCGCCATTGTATTATTTCACATCGCACATTTCCGAACTTGTGACATAACGGGCGTCCACAACACAAGTTTATTATCGTAGCAATGTTCGCCAGCATGGGCCCTAAGCAGCGCGTTTCGTGCACCGTGGAAGTGGAATACATGTTGCGTAAGCTATGCGGTGTGAGCTGGAGAAGTGTTAACTATCTGGTGTGAGTTGGAGGTAATTGCGTATGCTATGCGTTGCAAGCTATGGCGTGGGCCCGGGAGTTGCGCAGGCTGAATGCAGCCTGGTAGCTGTGCGGTGCAAGCTAGGTGGTGTGACAACTGTGCGGTGTGAGCTCTGATGTGCAAGCCATGCGGCAAACGCTGTGCGGCGTGAGCTGGAGTTGTGCATGCCAGGCGGCGCAAGCACCGTGGTGTAAGCTGTGCGTCCACGAGGTGCCCACGACCTGGATGAGGGCCCCAGCCAGGGCACGGGGTGATCATGGGTGCCCACGAGGCGGCACCGGCGCGCACGTGGCGAAACCTCGGCGGACCCACCCAGGGCGCGGGGGACCCACGAACGCCCAAAAGGCGGCACGGGCGTGGTGCGGAACCACCCAACTATTTAGCAATGATAGTGGGCCCCCCTAGGTGCCATCACTTCTTGGGGGCAAATGCCCCGGGGGCCTGGTCCGGCATCGTATGGGACGCTTTCTCCAGGCAGTGCTTGCACACATAGGTTCTCATTCATGGTTTAAGAAACTGGGCCTGCCCGTCGGCATGGCGGGTATGTGGTCGCCGTCGCCGCCCCGTCGACGCCTCGTCGCCGCCCGTCTTCTGGGTTTGCCCGTATTATTTGGTCGCCGTCGCCGCCCCGCCGCGTTGGGCCTGCCCGTCGGTCTGGCGGCTATGTGGTCGCCGTCGCCGCCTCGTCGCCGCTTGGGCCTGCGTTATTTTGCTTTGTTTTGCTGCACATTGCATTGCATTGCATTGACGTGCATTGTTATTTGTTGTTGCTTCGCACTGTGATTAGCATTGCTTTGCATGTACCACATCGCTTCCACCATACAGATTTCCCCATATCTACTGCACCACATCGGGTGCCCCACATAGATTGCACCACGCAGCTCGCACCACACACATTCAAGCATATAGGTGGCACCACATATTTTGCACCATATAGATGGCACTACTTAGATTTTCTTTTTGAGAAGACAGTAGGATCTACGCCCCCCGGACTATCCCCGCCCTGGGACAGTGCAACTTTTCACATAATCCTGCTCCATCGTTCATCCGAGCTGGACCCGTCATCGCACCCCGCACCTTTGTATCTGTTGTCAATTAACACTTGTGCGGTTGCTGGGGAGGGAGGGGGGAGGGGCACGATCCATGCTGCAAATGCCAAACTGGGCACTCGACCCGTCAGCCGCGCGCGCATGTCCAAATCTTGTCAAACGTCAAACCCTTCATATTCGACGCGTGGACACCATCATCGTCATCGGCCTGATCAGCATCGGCGACGTCATGGGCCTTGCCATCGATATCGTCATCATCGCCGCCAGCAACGCCGCGATCATCATCGTGTCTGCCGCTGTCGGCGTCGCCATGATACCGCGCCCGCCCGAGCCACGACTCGCACTGAAGTGCCTGCGCGTCAGCACGGCCTGCAAGACGCGCTGGGAAATCCCGAAGCGGTCAGCGCCACCGCGGCGGCGTCGGTCGGGCCAGACTAGCTAGCCGTTCTGCGCTCGAGCTTGCGCGCGCTAGCGTTGCGGCAGCGATGCGCCAGCCAGCGCCAAGCAGTCATCGCAATCGCCGTCGCATGGGCTTTGCAAACCAAGCTGCTGGTGGGTGGGATGGATGATTGTGCGAGCAGTGGGGTTGACAATTCACTAGTGAGCGTTCGTTAATTGAGCCACATAAGATGCAATACATGTATCGCACTACACAAATAGTGTGCACCACGTTGTTTGCACCTCGTAGATGGCACCAAGTTGTAGGTTGCGCTGCGTAGATTGTACCATGTAGAATGCTAGAACTTTGGGTTTGGGCCCCACGCTGGCTAATCGCATCGCGCAGTTGATACAAAAGGAAAATGTAGCTCGACCAACGGATGGCCACGATAATGTTTTTGACATGTATTGGAAAGGGCATCCGGTCCGGATCCGGTATGCCAGGGTATCAAAAGATGTCCCGTGCACGAATGACACATTTCATGAAAACGCGTTGGGGCGTGCATTGGGGGCCAAATCAGGCCCACCGCACCAGGAAAAAGATAGTTGCTCTCATACACATTTCGCATCAAATCCGCCAACACGTCCATACATCTCAAACTATCAGTTTTTGTTTCGTACCCATTCGTGCCAGGATTGTTTCTTCCATGCTGCATGGGACTTGCTGCGCACTTCGGCTTGTATGTTCTGTGTCCGTTCACAAGGTTATTCGGTATTTCTTTGAGTCATGCGGGCACTTTCGTGATCGTGTGGGTTGAGACTGACCTGCGCGTTGTGTGTTCGGTACTGTTCGATTGGCGCATCATAGTACTGGATATGGACTGGCGCACGACGATAATGGCATGATAAAGAGCTGGCCATCTTGCCACATGTGTTTTTCATGCAGATGTGGCTGGAGGCACTCTCGACGCGCCCTTGGTGATGGCGAGCCGACAGCACTACGCACTTCAGTCTTAGTGGGACGGAGGTTCATCTGGGAGCGGCGACGTCTTGGACCAGTGCGTGATGGGATTTAAGAACATATGTCAATCGACTGCCGTTTCGGCATTTTGAAAAGAGTTGCCTCGGTTGGGGGGAAAGATTTGTCGTTAATTGTGCAGGCGCGACACTAAGTTCCAAGAGTCTGAAATGATAGTAAGGCAAGCGAAGAAACGTTCATCGTTACATTGTGTGAGACGCACCTGTACGTTCTACGAATGTGCACCGTATGCTTTTACGCCAGAGTGCGTGGCACCCAGTTCGCGCGCGCGTGCGGCACGCACGCGTGGTATTATGTGTCCGATGTTTTGTGTGCGTGGCTCGCGCGCGACTATATCTCAAGGGCTGTCTCGGGGCTGGATGCGGTGTGGCCCAGTCTTGTCGGGTTGGAGGTCAAGTGTAATCATTGTATTCGGGGCGTGCCAAGGGTCCACGCGGTCCCGAGGACGGCGAAGACGTGACGCGGCAAAGCACGGGAGTTAATGTTGCGTCTCATTCGCCGGGAGTTTTTGCCCTTCAATTTGCATTTTCGTCGACAGCTCGTCCCGTCGGTCGCTGCAGAACGTGCGGTGTGGAAAAGGGCAGAGCTAGGGGGGGGCGCGGAGGCGAGGAGCGGAAAGAGATGGCAAGACAAGAGCAGGGCCCCCTCGCCGTCCTCCCGTTCATCGAACTTCTTCCTCCCCCCCTCCCGTTCATCGAACTTCTTCCTCCCCATTCCCAGGCCCCGTTTCCTTCTGCAATGGAGGTTTGGAGGTAGTCAATACCAGGATCGCAATGGTGTCTATTTCCACCCCCCCCCTCCTCCCTCCTCGGCGGCACCGCGGTTCTGGGCAGGCCCGCCAGCCGAGTTGATCGGATCCTTCCTCCTCTTTCCCCCCTCCACCCCGCAGCTGGGCGAGAGGACTTCTTGATGCGCAGACCGCACCACGAGACCCTTCGCCAGGCCCCGCTGATGCCAACGGCTTCTCAGACGGACAACCCGTTGGAGCCAGCGCCAAAGGACACCCATTTTTGGAGGAAGAGGAGTGCTCCAAGGCGTTGATGATGCTGATGATGATGATGATGATGATGATGATGATGATGATGATGATGATGATGTTGCTGCTGATGATGATGATGATACTGCTGCTGATGCTGATGCGGCTGATGATGATGATGGTGTGATGGTGTTGATGAGGATGGTGATTATGACGATGACGATGATGATGTTCATGATGCTGGTAATGCTGATGTTGCTGGTGGTGGTGGTGATGATGATGTTGATGACGATGGTGATGATGATGCTGACGATGATGAAGATGATGATACTGGTGATGCTGCTAATGACGATGCTGATGTAGATGGTGATGCTGGTGATGTTGCTGCTGATGATGCCGATGCCGATGACGATGATGATAACTCTAGTGGTGATGCTTGTGATGATCATGATGGTGTTGTTGATGATACTGATGGTGATGATGACGATGATGATGGTGATACTGATTGTGCTGCTGATGATGATGCTGCTGATAATGATGCTGATGATGCTGCTGATGTTGATGATGATGATGATGGAGTGCTGGTGATCATGATGGTACTGCTGATGATGATGGTTATGTTGCTGATGATGATGCTGCTGATGATGATGGTGTTGCTGCTGATGATGATGATGCTGATGATGATGATGATGCCGATGCTGATGCCCATGCTGATGCTGATGATGATGATGATGCTGCTGCTGCTGATGATGATGATGATGATGATGATGATGATGATGATGATGATGATATGGCTGATGATGATGCCGAGGATCTTTATGATGATGTCGTTAAGGATATTGATGCTCTTGTTTGTTGATGGTGATGATGATGAGGATGAGGAGGAGGCGGATGTGGGGAGGAGGAAGAGGAGAAGATGGAGGATGAGGAGGCGGCGGAATGGGGGAGGGGGGTTGCGACTAGGACGGGGGGTACGATTAGAAAGAGGAGGAGGAGAAGGAGGAGGAGGGGGAGAGGGAGAATGATGATGAGGAGGAGGAGGAGCAGCAGCAGCAGCAGCAGGAAGAGCAGGAGGAGGAGGAGGAGGAGGAGGAGGAGGAGGAGGAGGAGCAGGGGGAGGATGAGGAAGAGGAGGAGGAGGAGGAGGAGGATGAAGAGGATGACGAGGAGGAGGAGGAAGCGGAGGAGGAGGACAAGGCCGGGGCGGACGACGACGAGGAGCAGGTTGAGCAGGAGAGGGGGGACGACACCCGTGCCGTATGCTGCCAGCCAGCTAGCACGGTTTAGGCCACCTTGCCAACCGCCGTGTGGTCTCCGTCAGGGCCATCAGGATGGTCCGACGCACGAGAGGTGTGCAGAGTAGGAGCAGCAAAGGAAGGACGAGGAGGAGGAGGAGGATAATGAGGAAAATGGGGAGGCAGGGCGACGCGCCCGTCCTGAAGTCATCGGGCTCGCCCCCCTTGCCCTCAACGTGCCTGCCAGGCCACCACAACCGAATACGCTTGCAAGATTTAGGGGCGCACAGGGCAGGTAACCGCCATGCCATGCCAATCTGGCAACGCGTAACATCGGCAACCACTGGCCGTCAAGCGTGCTTAGCACCACAGGCAAAGGTTGCGTGGACCCCCTGCGGCGGAGTGACGCCAGGGTCGGGTACGCTGCGAGGGCACATTTGTCTTACCGGTACCGCACCCACTCTGGTCTGCACTTCTTCGCCAGCGTGTATGCCATCACGCCGCCACCGGCCACGGTTTATGAGTGCTCACCGTTGCACAAGTAGTTGTGCAATGCCGCGCCATTGTAGCTGGCATTTCACCGCGAAAGGTGAAGGGCTTAACTGGAGTAGGACAGGGCCGTATTGTTGGTGTTTTAGCACCGATCCAGCAATCCTGGCTTACACTTGTTACACACGGAGTTAAACATCCCACCCGTTTCCGCACGTGGCTCTCAGCAGCAACCAGAAAGTCGGCATGGCGTTCGTGTGATCTCGCGTGGGTGTGGAGCCTGCCAACAATCTAATTGCCTTTGGCCCATCCCGCCACCGTGCCTGGTTTGTTGGTTAGAGGCCTTTTGGATTTTCGTTTGGATATCGTGGGAGGCCTCTCGGGGGCCTCTTGGAGGCAGTTTTGAGGCTTCTTGGGGGCCGTTTGGGGGCCTCTTGTGGCTTCTCTGGGGCCTCTTAAGGGCGTATTGGGCACTCTTGTTGGCCTCTTGCGGCCTCCTGGGGGCCTCTTGGAGCGGAAGGCTCGAAGTGTCGATTCGTGTTCCCCCTCTTGGGCCCCTCTTGTGGCCGTCTCGGGGCCCTCTTGGGCGATCTTGGGCGCCGCTTGGGCCGTTTTGGTGCCCCCTTGGACCGTCTTGGGGCCCTCTTGGGGGCCTCTTGGGCCGTCTTGGGGCCCTCTTGGGGGCCTCTGGGGCCATCTTGTAGCGTCGAAAGCTCGAAGGCGCGAGAACGCGAAAGCCATATAACAAAACAAGGACACTCAATGATTGTTGCCTCTTTGGGCCCTAGTGGGGGTCCTCTTGGAGCGCTCTTGGGCCTTCTTTGGGGCCTCTTGGGCCGTCTTTGGGCCATCTTGAGTCTCTTAGAGCGCTCTTGGGCTGTCTTGGAGGCCTCTTGGACCCTCTTGGGCGCTTTCTGGGGCCCTCTTGGCCCGTCTTGTGGCCCTCTGGCCTCTGGAAAATCATGCGGGGCAGCCCTGGAACGCGCGAGAACGCCCGGGAAATTCGAGAACGTGGGACCCCCAGCCCTTAGAATACTATGATTCCAGATTCCCTGAGTACAGAGGACAGAGAACGCATGAGAGCTTGGGGGTAACTTCACTTCGTGCCTCGAGGCACGGTGGCGGATGACGGGAGGCGCCGCTAGCGCGGACCGTTGATCTTCTGGCAAAATATCTTTCAAGTTTCTCCAACGAAGGGGCACGGATTCCATTCAGGACCTCGCCGGCGGATGACGGGAAACGCCCCCGGAAGGCTCTGGCTCGAGCGATTGTGGCGTTTTTCTAGTGTCAGCGGGGTCGCAAGCCCCCGCACAGCATGATTCTCAGTCGATGGCAGGACATGTTGTGTTCCGCTTCTCTTCTTATCGCCATCGCTAGCCGAAATACACAACGCTGGAGGGCCGAGCGTTCCGAGGAGGCACGACCACCGTGGAGCTCCGTTTCGTCGGATGCCATTCATGACGGGAGCGAGCCAGTGCACAGCATGAGGAGCTATCACCGCGCCAGCCGGCCCCTGGCCGCCAGGGGGTGGCCATGGGTCAGGGCCTTTCTTTCGGAAGACCAGGACGTTGTGGTAAAGCTATGCCCAGTGGGTCCATCTCACGGTGCGACACGAACGAGCGGACGGGCTCTGGCGCACGGGTCGGTGTTTAATGTTTCTTGCCACGTGGGACAATGTACTCGCCACGTTGGTGCCCCAGTACGGACGTTTGGCTCGAATTCTTTGCAGATGGCTTCTGCTCTTGTTCCTGCTGTGATTGTACCTGCTAAGCGGCGCCTGTCGGCGCGCACTAAGTGCTTCTTCGACGCTGTGGATCTCCAGACCATTTCACGAGCGAAGTCTACACTGTATCGGAAGGCACGCATCGCGTTCACAAGGTGGTAAATATGGGACACTTACTTTTTTGGGGTTGTGCGGCTTCAATTCGGTCAACCTGCGCTGGCTCACGGCGGACTACGGCTCACAGTTCAGTGATCTCAGGGCACGCGTGAGCGGACAGTTGGTTCCGTGGGCTACGGCGGCCCGCAACGTCCCACGCTCCAGCCGTGCCAAGTGATGCGCCGACCATCATTTTGTTCAGTTTTGTGTTTTTCCCAACGCCTGTGCTTGTCTTCTCTGTCTCAATTCCTAGGCCCGGCGCGTGGTGACTTTGAGTTTGGCTCGGCCTGCAGCCGCAGGCAGGCGGTCGACCTGACTGTCTGCCGCCTCTCACCATCCCACGTCGAGCGTTGCCGACTTCGCATCTGCTGGTGTGGGCGGCTGTTGTGGCGCTGTGTCATGCTTATCCTGCACGCTGCGCGTTGCGCCGGTTGAGTCCACGGCCTGCCGCCAGCGCTCGGCCAGAGGGCCGTGTTCTGTCGCGCGGGCCTTGCACCAGCGCGTGGTGGCCTCGTATGTGACGTCTGCGGGCGCGCGCGCTAGTCGGTCCTGTGGCTGGCTATGCTGGAGCTCGCGAGACCTCTTAGAGTGGGGCTGCGTCTCAAAAAAGTATATATTTATGTATATATATATATATATATATATATATATATATATATATATATATATATATATATATAAACGCCCCCGGCGTGGATTGTTTGTTCGTAGCGCTATGGTTTGTCTTGGGATTGTGCTGGAAGCGAGTTGTAAAGGGCGCGTTGCAATGTTCACCGTTGCCCAGTTGTGCTCAAAGTTTTTGAGGTGCTCGCCCCGGATGGGGCCCCCGAGTTCTCCAGAGCTCCTGCAGGCAGTCGCGCGCGAGATTGGGCGAGGCGCCGTTGCTAGAGCCGTGGTCGCGTGGAGCTCCCAGGGCGGTGGATCGGGGCCCCCGATTCGCCCGCCCCCGACGCCGAGCCCGTCGCTTCATTGACCCGATGTCGTGTGTCCGCAGGCGGTCTGTTCAGCCTGCCCAGAGGTGAACTGTCCAGACAGCGCGACGCCGCGGCTTCTCCTCCTCCTGGGCGTCTTGGGCCTTGCGTTGTGGACGTGCTGCTTCCGCCTCGGCAACCGCCTTCCTAGTCGTGGCGCTGGTGATGGATGGCGACCTGGACCCCGCGGAGGCGGCGTCTTCGTGGAGGCTGATGCTGGGAAATCGCTTCCTCGTTCGCTAATTATGAGGACGCGGGGGGGGGGGGACCTCTTGCACGAGAGGCTCGCCACCTGGCCGTTGGGCGCCGTGGAGCGACCGCTGGAGAGCCCCGGTGGCGATCTGGTTTTAGAGGCGCTCGTCAGTGGCGACATCTGCGAGTGCATGGTGTTGGGACCTGGCGGCGTGGTGCCGCGGCGGGCGTGCTCCCGGCGGTGCCGCTTCCGCGAG